GACCCAGAGTGATCCGTACAAGCTGTCTGAAGTGTGGAGAATGGAACAGTGACCTGACGTGAATGACCCGCCATATGAGTCATATTGTAATGTGACGTCACGGGTCGGGATAACTCCGGCTACATTTGTCTGCCTACGTCTGTTAGGGTAACGTGTCGACGGCTGCTTCTATCACTGTCGTTGCTCTGTGTGTTTTTGTTTATGCTTTTGTTTTTAACCGCGCCTGCTGGGGGTCCTGGATTTCCACGCCCTGCTGGGGGGGGGGGGGTGTTTGAACACCCCCCCCTTCTAACTCGGCTCCTGGGCCACGTAGCGGTACGCGGAAGGCGGCGTTCGAAAGAGCGTCAAAATAATGAGGAAATCACTTCGGTCAATTTTTTGGTCAGGTCAAAGGTCAGGTCATAGAGGTCATTGAAGGCAAAATTTCGCCGATTTCCAGGTCGAAGGTCGACAATTTCCAAGAAGCCAACGCATAACTTCCCAGCAAACATGCCCACATGGTTCCCATATGGGACCCACATGGGCCCCCACCTCTTCCATATGGGTCCCACATGGGAATGGCAGTGGGTGACACGTGGGACCCATATGGGCCAGCCCACGTAGGCCCCATATGGAACCCACGCGGCGCCCACATGGGACCCATATGGGTAGCCCATCTGTAGCCATGTCCCACGTGGGCCCATCTGGCCCATGTTCACCCATACGGGACCCACATGGGATGCCCATCTCCAGCCACATGCGTTGGCCCATCTGGCCCATTTATCCCATATGGGGCCCATATGGGTAGCCCATCTGTAGCCCATGTCCCACGTGGGCCATCTGGCCCATGTTCACCCCATATGGGACCCATGTGGGCATGTTTGCTGGGTTGGGAACCAATAGAGCTACAGCGCGCGGAAAAGCGCATTCGATAGCCCTATTAACGGGCTTTCTGAGTAATTCTCTCAGATTTGAACTAACGTCAACGGTTTTGCCTGCAGGGGGCAAAAACTGCAAAAATAGCCGATTTTTCGGAAACAGTTTTTCTGCAATAACTTTTGACCCAAGCCATGTACGAGCTTACTTTTACCGGCATCGTGTTCCTCTCGTCAAGACGCATCGAATGAACTATAACTTGACCTTGAAAGGTCAACTTGAAAATTTGACCTCAGGTCAAGGTCATGACCTGACCGGAAAGGGTCCATGTTGCATATCAGTCGATCCGTATCGTCGAGCTGAACACATTAAGGCGTTTTCATCGCTCTAGCATGCCTCTATCAAAAGTTATTTGCGAAAAACTGTTAGATACCATTCGTGACCTTAGATGACCTCAGGGCATAAACAGGGGTCACGGACACCATTTTCATGTTCAGTGTGTCTAAACCACTTGTAATTCAGTGTTTGGGAGTGTTTATAATGTCTTTCGTCCAAAGGAGGCGCATTTCAATTTTCTCCCATTGACTTATAATGGGGAGGTCGCAAATTGACCTGACCTTAGGTCATCGATATCAAAATTCTGAGATATACATTTTGTACATGCTATTGCTCTTAGCAATCGCTGAAAGTTTCAAAGCGATCGGTCACTCGGTGTAGCTATGATAGACATTGAAACTTTTTATGAGGTGAGGTCACTTCAAGTGACCTGGTGACCTGACCTTGAATGACCTTGGTCTGAAATTTTTACAACATGTGTAGAATTGATGTATGATAAGGTGTACCAAAAACGGCGGCGCTCCGCGCCGCCGTTTTTGAGATATTCGCGAAAAACCACAAGGGGGGTGTTCAAACACCCCCCAGCAGGGCGCGGGTTAATGATCTGCCTGTCTGCGTCTCTGTATAATCCCCTGTCTCTCTCTCTCTCTCTCTCTCTCTCTCTCTCTCTCTCTCTCTCTCTCTCTCTCTCTCTCTCTCTCTCTCTCTCTCTCTCTCTCTCTCTCTCTCTCTCTCTCTCTCTCTCTCTGTCTCTCTCTCTCTCTCTCTCTCTCTCTCTCTCTCTCCCTCTCTCTCTCTCTCCTCTCTCCCTCCCCCTCTCCCACAAAGTCACATCTCCTCTCCACCTGTATTCTCTCCTCGCCATACCCCAGTAAAACAAACCCCCCTAAATCTCCACACCCCACATCTCCACAGTCTGTTTCACTGATGCTGATTTGATCCCGTAATCTCCGCATCCAACGGTATTATTATAATGGTTCAGATTCTGGTACAAGATTGATACTGGTTCAGATTCCCACTACCTCACCGAGAGTGGGCCTTTTTTGGGGCACCGAAAGAAGTCGATGGGAACGGTTGATGACGTCATAGTATTTACAATACTGTTACAACAATGCACAATGGATGCATTGCATGTCATGGAAAGAATGACATAAAAACAGCAGTACATTTGACTCGGCCGACCTCGATGGCACAATCCATAGAAGGACACAATAATACTCATAGAAGGACTCAATGATGCTCACTCAGAAGGATTTTATCATCTCAGTGTGTGATGGTGAAAAACACACGTCATATATCATACACTTACGTGTCTACACACGCTATTTACATTGCTAATACAGCCGTGTTTTGTAAAATGACACCGGCACTGTAGCATATATAATATGCATATTTTTACGTTTCTCAGTTTGCGGTAACGTTTCTCACATACGTTTCTCACATGCTGTAATGTAAAAATGTAGGGTAGCCTGGGGCAAGACGCCCCAGATAATTTATTTTGCTACATAACTTTTGTCCCACATGACCTGGAAGGCTAAATTTGTGCTCAATGCGTTCTTTGGACATTTTACTTTAAATTCCACCCCTCAAATTATTTCACCTATGATCGGACTCCCAGCTAGGAAGCGATTTGTGAAGCAACTGCAAATGGGGCATTTTGCCCCAGCCCCAGGGCAAAACGCCCACGGCCTGGGGCAAGAAGCCCCATACTCTAGATTAAAGATTAAACATGGTAGTTGGCTAAATCTTATATGAGAGGTCCGTTAGACCTCTGGAGGCACGGCACTGAAGTTAGCACATTCCATCCTGTCAGGTGTTCAGCTATGACACTATTGTATGAGCAGGTTTTTCACCTGCCTCAAAGAACCAAATAATAAATTATTGCAATGCAAAGGTTTACAGAATGCTTCCTTTGCCATCCAGTTGCTGAGAAAAATACACAAAAAGGCATAGAAACTTACTGTTCGCCAGCTACCGAACATTAGAAAGTGGGTAGCCCGAACAACACATGGGGTAAAACGCCCCATGGGGCTTTTTGCCCCGCGACCTACTGGGGCGTTTTACTCCATCACGTAGTTCGGTCAGAGAACAACGCTTTGCACTCCAGCAAGACATAATTTAACACGAACCAACCCGGCATGATAAGCGTTAAACAATAGTTGTTCAAAATACATAAAAGTCGTTAACCTGATGTGGACCATAAAAGAACGCCATGATGCATAATCTGACAACAAAACATAAAAATCACTCAAAAAACACATTTTTGGCTATATCGCCCGAAAAAGTCAACACAATTTCTTTCCAGTCTGTTCATATAATGATCATATAGTGCACGTTTTATAGAAGAGAGGATGTTTCCCCAGAAATCTGCCACTTCCGAGAAACATCGGTGAGGCGTTTTACCTCGGCGGGGCGACTTGCCCCGGTCTACCCTACATGTTTCCTTTTCCAACTTCAGTATCCATACAGGCGACTAATTTTCATATTTTCTGATGCAACTGATCCCTCGCGCTCCACTTGACCTCCATAGTTGGAGACTCCTTGGGTTGGTCCCCGACTCTGCTGATGTCCTGAAATACAAACAGAGCAGGATTGAATACAGCAAATATGAGCCTGAGGACACAGAAGAAGCATAGGTACAAAAGACAACGGTTTCGCTCTTATTCGAGGTTACGTCTTACTATATTTTTATATTTAGTAAATACTACCTAGGTATGGAAACTGTACAAAAGTTTTCCACTAAGAAATCACCTCACGCCGGTCACTGTGGGTGGCGCCGCTCCTGGCCGTGCCGCCGGCGGCTGAGGCGCCGCTCCAGATCCTGCACTCCTGCCGGTGACGTCTCCTCTGCTCCTCCAGCTCCTGGTTGTGCCGCTCCTGGAGCTGGATGAGCTGCTGGCGGTGTCTTCGCGTCACCTCTATCAGGTTCCGCAGGTGTTGACAGCGCCGGCTCGGCTGCCGCTCCTGCTGTCGTGGTTCTGGTTCATGTTGTCGTCGTTGTTCTTGTTGTTGTTGTTGTTCTTGTAGTTGTTGCTGTTGTTGTTGTTGATGTTGCTGTTGTTGTTGTCGTCGTCGTTGTTGTCGCTTTTGCTTGTCTGAAATCAGACGGCCAATAGTCAATACCTATACAGATTCTGCATGAAAGGGTTGTAGGGTGTTTTTATTCTTTTTCAAATAGTCTCCGGCTATAAAAGCAACATGGGATATGTAAAGCACGTGACTGCGCCAAAGTTTTAGCTACAAAATCGTTGACAAGCAATGTTATTAACATTAAACCTTACCACGCTCAACTGGCTTTTCCTCCTCCTTCTTCACTTTGAGGTTCTTCTCCTGCACCTTCCTGCTTTCCTTTTCCCTCTCCTTCTCCTTCTCCATCTCCTTCTCCTTCTCCCTCTCCCTCTCCTTCCCCTTCTCCAGTACCTTCTCCAGCTCCTTCTCCTTCTCCATCTCCTTCTCCAGCTCCTTCTCCAGCTCCTTCCGCAGCTGCCGACGCCTCCTGCTGCACTCCTCCATCAACTGATCCAGCTCCTCCCCGGACTGCATGTTCGGGTATCTCTCCTCCAGCTCTTGTGACTCCCTGAGGTGTTTCTGTTTCAGTTTGTTCCACTGCGTGTGGACCTTCTGCTCCAGGTCTCCCCACTCTATTTGATGCTGTCGCTCCAGTACCGCGCACTGCCTTCGGTTTCTCCGGTCCAGCAGCTCCAACTGCCTCAGACGTTTCTCTTGCTGCGCCTGTCCCTGATACTGTAGCTCCACGCACCTGTTAACACTCTCGTGCCGCTGTTGGAGTGTTTTCCGCTCGTCATGGTGCCGCATTTCCATGCTCCGCCACTTTCTGTCATGAATCCGCTCCAGACGCCGGCGCTCCTCATCATGCTGCTGGTTGAGACTCCTCCTTTCCCCGTGACCCCGCCGCTCCAGCTGCTGCCACAGCTGCTGGTGCTGTCGCTCCAGCTGCTGCCATTTCTCTCGCTGAGGGCTGGGCAGACCCCCTGATGTCTGGTCCTCGTCTGCGCTGCGCCGCTCCTCGCCACCGGCCTGACCGTCGTCGTCATGCTCCGAATCTGAAACATATCAGTTGGTTAGAAAATATTAGCTTGGTCGCGTTGAACCGACGTGTGCTTAGCACTTAACAACCGCAAGTCAATGATTGAATGAATAAACATAATCTGATCGCGGGAAGATAACAACATTGGACGCATATCGATTTTCATTAATTGCACTAGTAGGTATTTCTCAGTCGTTTCTGGAATGAGCAAATGAAACGACGGATTGGAGCACTAGTTGGCGTCACTATCGTCTTACCCTCTGAGTCGGCCTCGTGCACCGCCATGTAGTAAGACGTCATCTCCCACCGGTCCGGCCACCAGCCGGTGATAGCGTTGTATATCGTCCGCAGCCGGTCACCGGACAGCAGCTGCTGCAGTCGGCGGCGCCAGAGGCCGACCGTGGCGTCCACATACGCGGCGTCCATCTCTGGTAGTTTGACACGGAGCCACTCATGCAGGTTAACCCGCGCCCTGGTGTGGGTCTGAGCCACCTTCGCCCTGGTGGGGGGGGCCAAAATGACCCCCCCGTCTAACTCGAAAACGAAGAGGGCTAGGAAGACGCGGAAAAAAGCAAACGAAAGCCCATAACAAGTACGTTCGAAAGTATTTCGGTCATTTTTTCGCTAAGGTCAATATTGAGGTCGCTAGAGGTCATCATAGGTCAAATTTCAGTGTTTTCGGTGTTGCCGGACATATTCCGCTGTAGCTCGGAAACTAGAAGAGCTAGAGAGCCGCGGAAAAAAAGCAATCGATAGCTCTTTTCAAGCTCTTTCGCCAAGGCTCGTCAGATTTGACCTCAGCTCAACGGTTTGGCCTACAGAGGTCATGCAAGGTCAACTTGGCAAATTTCGTTGAAAATGTTTTTAACTATAGCATGCATTCACGAGAAAATAGAGAAACGATTCATGCACCATCGTGCTTGGCTCGTCGAGACGCGTCGAATGATATATAGTTTGACCTCGAAAGGTCATTTTGAAAATTTGACCTCAGGTCAAGGTCATGACCTTACCGAAATAGGTCATGCTGCATATCATTCGATCCGCATTGACGAGACAAACACGATAAACGTCGAACGGAGTCTCTATCTCTATTCAATAACAAGTAAGTGCAGAAAAACCGCTGGTGACCTCTGGTGACCAGGGAGATGACCTAGCGTGACCTCAGCGAGGTCACAAGCAAATGGTTTCACATGGGCTGTGATTTGCTGACCCAAGACACTTCAATAACGAAATATAGGAACAATCACGCCCGATTTAGCTGAAAAACAACTACTTTTCGATTCTCCCATTGACTTATAATGGGGAGCAGCGATGACCTGACCTGACCTTAGGTCACATTTATAAAAAATCCGAGATAGCCATTTTGTAGAGCTGGGTGACATCTTCAAGTACTGTAAATTTTACATAGATCGGATAAAAGCTGTGCCTTTGAGAGAGCTTTGAACTTTTTTAGAGGTGGTGTCAGTTTTGGTGACCTTGTGACCTGACCTGACCTGACCCGAACCCCCCAAAAAAGAACATGATGTAAAAATGTTGAATAAACAGCTATACAAAGTTTCAGGGCGCTAACTCAAGTGGTTTCTGAGTTATCGCTGAAAAACCACAGGGGGGGGGGGGCCAAAATGGTCCCCCCCCCCACCAGGGCGAAGGTTAATGTTGATGTGCCGCTCCATCTCCTTCCGGATCTCCTGGTAGGAACGTATGGGTCGGTAGTTTTTCATCCACCTGTTCTCCTCTGCCCGGTCTATATCCCGCCACTGGTCCATCTTACCCGGTACGTTCACTCGCACAGCCTGCAGTAGCAGCTCGGGACGCAGCAGCAGCTCGGCACGGCCCCGCGGCGTGTCCAGCTCGGCGGTTAGTCCAGTCGGCCGTTCCTCCAGCGGCCGCCGCAGCTGCTGACGCCACCAGGTGGCCACCTTGTCCGGGTAACCAAGCAGAATCTCCAAGTCGGATCTGGTGAGGAGTTGTATCAGGGGGGCTACGTCCAGCGTCACGATGTCGCTGACCGGTGACGTCATCGGCGTCCCGGCCACCAGGTCTGCCGAGTCGAGCACTACCCATGCCATGAACAGATAACATTGCTGCCGGTATGTTCCTGATTTGGCGTAATGCCACCATTGTAGTAGAAGTGGGGCTGTGCGGACCAGCGGAGGGATGTTATTCTTCCACCAGCTCACCCAGCACGGAGCTGTGTGGCGGAAACGGACACCCTCAACCACAGCCTGTCGGACAAGCGTCCTTCCTAGTCGGAGCCGCAGCTGGGACTCCAGCTGGCGCTCTGTGAGCGGCTCTAGCCCGCCCTCCAGCAGCAGATCCACGTCCCACTGATCCACACAGCTTGCCATCAGAAGATGCGTGACATGCTCCCTCATCAGCCGTACTGCGTCAATGATAGCCCGCCGTTCTACGTTGCTGAGCTCAGCTGCCACATCGATGTTATGATCGAAAAAAACACGGAATTTTCCCGGCGTTCAATTTGTCCTCCAGCCAGTCAAGTATTTTGTTGACACCGTCGGTGACGCCTTTCCACATCGAGGCTGGCGTGGTTTGAGCCAGCCACAGCCCGGCCGTTTTTATAAAGTATGATTTTAATGGCAAATCTTCGCTCTCGCTCTTTTTCAAAGTATTTTTCATGGCTTTTACTGCCACAATAGTCGCTCGTATGACTGGAGCAAAATATCGAACCGTGATCACCTCCGCCCGTGAGTAGGAAATCCGAAACTCGATAAACTCGTTGTCGCTGCCGGGCCGGCCGGTCGGCACAAGGTGTACTCCGAATCGTCTGATGTCAGCCCTCGCCGCTGCTGGCGGGAAGTCCACCTCCAGGTGGCAGCCGTCGAGCTGGTCTTCAGCCGGCCACCACCCGCGCACAAGAATGCACGGCACGTAGTCGGTGCCACCGTCTGTAACATCATTTGGATCCTTGACGTTGACAGCTGGTCCGGCGGTGCTGATTTTGCCGCCCTTCATAATCCGACATAATTCCACCATTAGCTGGCGGATGGAGTCGGCCGGCAAGGCCTCCAGCGGCTTTTCATGACTGCATTTTGTCGTCTTGACCCAGTGCAGCGTCACAAATCCAGGGTTTTTGGTCGGTCGAGCCCACAGCTGCGGTGCAGACTGTGGAGTAATAACGGCCGGCTCCTCTCTCTTTCCGAGTGCCGCCCATTGGAATGGTCCGTCGAACTCGAACATCACATCAAAATCAGACGTTCCACCAACGCCCACTAACCTGTCCGTTAGCCCCTCGGCACTGCTGCCTGATGGATTCATGGAGGCTACTCTGAGGGGCTGGTTGGGCTGACAGTGCCGACAACGGGCGGCGGCGGCGTCATTGATATCCTGTAGGGCTGCCATGAGCGGATAATATACCAGCCCGGCGACAGTGTGGCTTACCTCAGCCTTGGTACTGTAGGCCTGCCACCTGGTGGAGTGCTTGTCCGTAATGTCACGTGCCAGCAGCAGAGTGTCGGGGATCAGATGTGCACACGATACATACTTGTCTGCAAGCTTCCTCACTCTCCAGTCAAAGCACCGTTCCAACCTCCTCTTCCGCTCCTCCTTCCCCACACCGAACAAGTCAGCTCGTGACATGGCTGCCGGCTGCTCTGACTCTCCCGGACT